TAGTCACATCTAGATTAACTCTTTGTGACCTTTAGAGAAAGGTCTTGCAAGATCAAAGATTAAACAGAGAGGAATGTGCATCTGCTCATGCAATACACTAACGGCCCAGTGTTCAAATATCACCTGGCTATATGGGTTGACCATTTTGAAGACAACAGTGCCATCCTCCAGGAATCTTCCCTTATTTGAAGTGTGCAAAACTGCATCAGAGAATTGGCTTAAAACACCATAAGCTGTTAACTCTGTCAGCACTGCTACACAGCTGGGTAGCAGTTTCAGAAACACCATTTCTCACTTTTGTTTTTGTGGAGACTTGTTTGTTTTTTCACACGAGTAGGGCTCCTCAGGCCACTCCACCTAAGTGGTTGCTTCGATCAAGTGTCCTCCCCTGGGGCTACATAGACAGTCCTAATGAAGGCAACATTGACTCACCCTGGGTAGCTCTGCTTCTCTGAGATGTCACCTTCACAGATCCCTGCTGGCAGGGTGAGCTCCAAATCATACAGTCTCTGTATGATGCTGCCTCGGCTGCCAATTGGTGAGAGAAATCAAATTAAAGTCAGATGTGGTGCTCCTTGTTAGGTACTTGATAGCAATTTTAATTAAGTGTGAAATTGGAGGATTTGCATTTACTCTTTTTTTTTTTTTTTAGCATTGTATGAAGGTTACAGCTCTGTCTTGATGGACTGTCTGAAATCAATGCAAGCTGAAAATAGGAGTTAATCATGCCCTTGGATTATAACACAAGCAAGATTCAAAAACTCGCTCTACAACTATGACCCACTGACTCAATGAACTTGAAACAAGTCATAAAAAAAAACCAAAACCACAACTCAGAATGAGAAGTTCCCAGGAGCATGACAAACCGATGGGTAAAATAACGTGTGGGTTGGACAAAGCACTATCAAGGAAATGCCTTGATCTTGAACTGTGGCCGCCAGATCACAGAGCTGTCTTGAGGGAGGACATGAGGTTCTCATCCGATTGCTGCTTTTAGTAAATGGTCCCAGAATATCCCATTACAGAGAGAGGGTGCACACAGCTACCACAGGCATTAGCTGTCTGCTCAACTATGTCCCTGCAACATATAAAAATCAAGTGACAAAGCAGATGATGAAAGAGAAACAATCAAAAAGAAATTAAAGCTGCCTGGTATCTTAAGCTACAGTAAATTGCCTTGTGTTCTCCTGAGTAGCTAGGTAGGGATGTAGGTACTAAATAAGAAGGAAATTAACCCTGCTCTTTTTATCTAACCTCAATGTTTAACACCATTTCACGTTGTCATTGCAGACGTTATATTTGGCATAAGCTTTGGCTGCTCTCACTTTTCCAAAACCTTATTCCCTGTTAAAATCCAAGAGAAGTTTACAAAGAGGTTAAGCAGCTAAATTTCAGGCATGTTGAAGGGGTCTGTGGTTAGCACAGTCCACAACATAGACAAGGCTAATTTAAACCTGTGCTAGGAAAAGCAGAAGGGTTAAAAAATCATTTAAACTTGCTAAAATATGGAGCCACACAATAGCCAAAAGCTATGGAAATAGAAATTCACAGAAAAGACACTTTCAGAATATAAAAGCTGGCAAGAAAATATTAAATTTCAGCTCTACTAAATAAAATATCTTCTAAAGGTTTTTGTTTTAAAGACATTACTGAGATCATAATCAATCAGTCTGGCTACTTAGACACAGTGCCCCATCGGAGGATTTAGCAAAAATGAAGTACTAAATAATTCAGCATTTAAGCAATCGTGTAAGGAATATGTAGCTGAAAAGGACAAACTGTAAATCGAGATTATTTTTCTGTTACTTCAGAATATACTGTAGTTTTAACAGGGCCTTCCAGGGAGATATCTAGACAGTTTTTCCATGCACAGAATCAAGATCACAGCTTTTAATCTTTTATTTTTAAGGCAAATTACTCCAGTATTTATATGCAACTGCAAACGATGACCTCCCTCCCTGAATTTTTAAAATGAATGTTTTTACTGTATTTACAGCTATGTTTTCTCTTTCTCAGCTAGAATACCCTTTTTTTTTAAATTAGAAAACCCAAACCAATAACCCTGCCCTTCTCTATTACAAATCTGCATAATGTTAACCTTATGAAAAATATTAGGAAAGTCTTATCTCTGGGTACACATATTACATGCATAGAGTACATGCATATGTCCAAGGAATCAGAGATAACCCAGTTCAGACAAATACTATAAATTCTCAGAAAGGCAGCTGGAAATTCTTAAGATTAAAAATTTCAGGTTGATTTTCTTTCCAGTTTCTTCAGAAAGATGTTTTTTTTAGCTGTGATGTACACAAATTAGTTAAGATTTACATTCCCCATGAAGAGCTCTGATGAATTTGGGATGTTTTGATACATCAGCTCTAACCTTCTGGAAGACTTCTCCTTTTTAAGTCTTCCTCAAGATTCATTATCAACATTTTGAACGTCTCACAAAACATGGACACAAGTCTGCTAGTGTTGGAGACCGGATCACAGCAGTTAATGAGCACAAGAACAATGACAAAATGGGCATTATTGCATGCAACTTCATGCAATTTTCATATACAGCTGTTAAAAGACAGGCAGGAGCCTGCAACACTGGAATTCATACAGAACTGATATCCAAAAATGTTATGCTGAAACCTGACAAAACGAAAAATGCTATTTGCCCATGCCTGCATCTCAAGGTCACAGTATTAAACAGCATCAAAATAACTTGTTAAGGTGATAAATCTTGTCTCAAGCCCCCATCTCTTTTATTCTAGCATTGAATCTGGCATTGAATTTCATTGTGGCAGCTGCACTAAAATACTAAACCAATCTCAGAGGCTGAATGACACGATCTGGGCATCACGGTTTATTGACTCATGACGGATGACCAACACACGTTTCAAGTCTTTGATCGCTAGTAGAGTTTCTTACTTATCTTTCAAATGTTTGTTGCAAATTTCTACACTGTAGAAAACCTAAAGTCTAAGCCAAACAAAGGTGATTAAATCAGGAAGACAACAACTCCACCTAATTTAAATTAGGATGTTTTTAAAGAGGACACTTTTTGAAACTATACCAAGCATGTTTTTTACTGTTGGTCACAGAGCAAACCAGAATGTTGTACTGAAAAAAACTACAGTAGATGTTAGTGCTCATTCAAATCTATTTCCACAATGAGGTGACAGCACAGTCTGTAGAACAGAACTGGAGAAGTTCTGAGCTGTTTAAAAACACAAGTTTCAAATCATCATCTGTTTCCACCCTGCTGTTGTAACAAGAGATTTGCAGAATTCGAAACCTTTTCCCCCCTCCCACCATATTAAAATGACAGAAAGCAAAATGTAATTCTGACAGATTTAACCCATATACATTTACCTGAATAGATTATTCTGCTACTTTTGTGACAGTCCTGAAAATAAGTCAAACATGCAAAAATAAATACCTACATGTACTTTAAATTTACCTTCCCCTTCCCCCCTCCCCATTCTTCTATCCCAGACTAGAAATGTTTAACAGCAACTACTTTTAGTGCTTTCACACTTAACCTCAGTCCTGTTCCCTTTTGCCTACTCCAACCTCCATTCCAGGTCAGGGGCTCCACTGCCCCATTTACTTGTGGAAACATTCCATGCTCTATTTCATAAAAGCTCTTTAATGTCTTCTCCATCTCCAGCCAGTTCTAGTTGCCTTTTCTGCGCCACAAAGAGAAGGTGTAGTTGCTGCAGTTTGTGTCAGTCCTCACAAGATTGCATCAGGCTCTTGATTACATCCACTCACCTTCCCTCAGACTTTTTATCATCTCCTCTACAGTCAAACTGCACAGCTGCTTCTTGCCTCAAGATCTGTAAGGGGTCATCCAATTCAAGCAAGAAACCCCCCCCCGCTATTGCACTCAGTGTTTATTCCTGAAGACATTCTCCTTCCAAAGAGCTGTTACACAGAATATTGTTGGGCTACAACGGACTGGACTGGCCCACTTGCTTAGCAGAGCTGGGACACTGGCAGTATCATGAATGCTAGATGGAGCAAGGGACGTAATGTGCAATGCAGGTTAATTACTTAGAAGAAGCTATCAACTGATCTTCACAACCTGTACAAGAATTGCCAGTAATTTGCCTGAATTAAAGGCCTAAGAAGGTCACAACTTCTGCCTCGATCTTTTGAAACAGACATGTTTGAGATCCTAGTGGGGTTTTTTTAAGTTTGGTAACATAATAACCAACTTGACACTGAGCCTTTTAACAGGCGAGAACAGGGAACCACAAGAATTTCCCTGCTCAATACAAATAAAAATAGGAGGCAAGTATGCATTTGACAATTCCTTTTTTTTTTTTTGCTAGTTATAGTGAATTCAAGTTCAGAAACATTAAGCAGTTGGTCTTTCTCAAAAGATACTTTGTAAAGTAGTAGTCCAAATACCAAAATGCATCTTGGCATGTATGACAATGAAGAAGTGTTGACATGCGTTCACACTTTATTCCTTGAAAACAAATGAGATGAAGTACCAGTAAAGATCCACGTTCACTGTACTGCAAACTCCTTGTTCCTACTGAGAAGTACTTACTCTTGCAGACAATCCCACACAAATCAATGCTTCCTTTCCTTAGATGTCACAGTAAACTACTCAGGTTTTAAGTGTTGTGAATGGGATTTGCAATCTGTTATAGTGTAAGCAAAGAGGATTGTCTGTATTTATGGAGCAAATACTGGAAAACAAAAAGAGAATGACATCTGCTTTACAGTAACTGCAGACAGTACAACTGGCATCTTTTGGAATTATAAGGCAACAAATGTTGAACCAGCATATGAAACTCTACTGTAGAATTTTTTTCCCTTTTTTTTCTCTAATTCAATAATATGCAGCAATATGAAATGCCAATATTGCCTCCAGATAACTTCTGCATTTGATGAACCCCTTAAGATAACATGTAATATCTGGTTGGACTAGCACACTCTTTATTTAAGATTATCCATCTGGCAATATTAATGTATATTAAAAATACACATGCACATTTTTGCAGACTTGCAATTTAATGTATTTTCATAATTCACTACAAAAATGAGGTTTACAACTGCTACCATACACTGGGACTCCTACAGTAGCATGGATAATGTACACATGTATTTCCCAGAACTACCAATACTGAGCATTGTGCAAATTGTCTAGGACTTAATCCTTCTTGAGCAGCAGCTGGAAGAAGATTTGTGGGTTGAATACTGATATCAAAATACAGATTTAAATAATTTACTCTTAAAAACATTCATATTTATAGCCTCTTACAGAAAATAAACAATTCATCTGATTATCAGATACATCCCTCAGTTTTTCCAGTTCCAAGGTATACACAGGTCTCCATCCTGCAGCACAGAGTAGAAATGTGAAATGCAAAGGTGCATGCCTTGTAGGTAGGGCAAGGATTCTTCCAGCAGCCGCTTACAGCAATCTATCATCTGTGCACTGGAAACTCCTGGTTCCTTATACAGACGATCCAAAGAAAATTTCTCAGTGGAGGTATCAATTAGCTCTTTTTCTGTAATCAACATCCTAGAAAATGAAGACAACACACAGTGACAAAATTAGAACTTAATCTCTTAAAAAAATCCCAAAACATCTTGAAATAAGCATTTCAATGCATACTGAATATACATTAAACCAAAAAATAATAAGTAGGTTACATGCATGCAAACAAAGGTGCCAATTCATGTACAGCTATGGTACGGTCGAGACTTTTGTGCAGGTTGATACCTGTGTCTACCTCATAGGTCACACTGAACATTCTTTCATGACTATGGGCAACAGAATGCCCACAGAGCCACATTTGAAGCCTGCACCACATCTTTTTGTTCACTGAGTGACAGGGAAAAAATACCGAAGTAAAAGTCCTACGAGGCTCCATTTTTATTGTAAGGGGTCAAAGTACCTAAATAACCTTGCAAGTGTAACTTTTAAGCAGAAAATTGTGTTCATAATTGCTCTCTTTTAATTAGACCAGTACTCTGTGTGTCATCAAAACCAACAGTTGACAGGTATAGCCAACTGATGCGTATTAAATGTATTAATAGCTTCCTAATTGCAGAATTATGTGGATCTGGTTGGATCTGATGACCTTATAGGTCTTTTCCAACCTAAATGATTCTACAAATATTGAATTCATAGCTTGCAGATGATTTTCTTTTCCCCTTCACCCCAAAGTGATAAGACACTGTGTGGCAAACTCAGACTACTCAGAAATAAAATTAATGCACAGAATTAATTAAGAGTCACTGGAGCTGTGACTGATCACCTAATGCAGAGACAGTTCAGGCTGTGCAAGCCTCACCAGCTCAGGCACTATGCCACGCTAACACAGCTATACTTCCAAGCCAGCTTGGCTACAGAAAGAGCACCACTGCTGCCCTAGGACACAGAGGGGGCAGGGGAGGAGCTACAAAGCAGCAACACATCTGCAGAGCCGGTGGGATGTGAAGCAGCCCCAGCTACGCACCGAGACTATTCGGCTCACACAAAAACACTACTGCAGGGCCTCAGCACCACTCTTTGCAGAGCTCAGTACGGATCTCTGTGTATGGATCTCTTGCATGGCACTATGCCCTGCTCAGGCACTCAGATTGCTGTATCAGAGCCCAGCCCGGCTCTGGCAGTCAGGGATGAACTGAGCCAGTGAGTTAACCTAGAGCAAACCTGCCCTCTCTACAGACCCTCCTGAGTGCATTCCCTAATACCTAGGCACCAAGCTTTCCTGCTCTGTGGAACTGCAGGCTGCCTTGAAGGAATTCAAGTCAGCCGCACACAGTGAGAACTGCAGGTTTATTTTCAGTCACTTCCACAAGGAGGCTTACACATCTATTACAGTACAAACTGGTGCTTTACAAAAGCAGGGGAAGGAGGAGCAGGTTCATACTAAATCCTGCATTACTGGAAGACTGACATTATCCACATAGATAATACAACCTTCTAGAGCAGCAGTGTTTGGACTTCCCTGTGCTTCAGGTCATTCAGAATTCCAGATATGTTATGCTAGTTACTGCATATAAATCATTCAACTGCATGTGCAAAGTAAATCCAGTGCACCTCAAGCTATTTTCCTTTATCTCAGGGCCCCTGTAACCACCACAGGAGACTAAGGAAAATCAGAAGAATAGAATGAGTCCTGTTCAAGGAAGCATTAAGTGGAAAAGGAGCTTTCAGCTTCAATAAAAGACAACTAAGGGGAAATACGACAAAAAGAAAAGAAGCAGAGGCGATTAATACAGAATGACTGTTTTGTATTTCCTATCACACAAGAACCAGAGAATGACAAATGAAATAATCAGGCTGCGGGTCTATAAAACACAGAACATCTCTCTCCTGCATACACACATGCTATATATAATTCAACCATGCCACAAAGTAAAAATCAGCTCAAAAAATAATTAGACTATAAAGAGGGGGGAAAAAAAAAAGATCTATTGAATGCTCTTAACATGAGATAATGTTTCCAGCTTCAAGCCTTTGTTGAAGTGTCGTTGGTCAGAAAGTGGGAAGGAGTGTAGAGTCAAACAGCTCGGTCAATTTTTTGCCCCGTTTGACAATATAAGCACACAAACCAGTAATCACCCAGCACACAACAGAAGAGCTATGTAGTTTGGCTCTTACATTCTTACATCAGAGCTGCTTGTACACTGAGGGCAGGCCCTGAGTTCTGGATTAGTGTCTTCATGAAGTGCAGTAGTGTGAGATTTTTTGAAGAGTGAATTACTCAGATACAAATGCATACATTTGCTATGTCCCTCCCAGAATCTACAGACAATACTTTCCCAGCTGTCACATGTGAACAGCTACATAGAGAGCTATTTAGTACTTATAATTCATATGGCAAAAAATAATCTAACTTCAAAACTGGACTAGGGTTACAGAAAAATTCCAACAAATGATGTTTTATTGAAATCTACTTCCAAAACACATCCTCTCAAGTAATGAAGTATTGACAGAGCTAAAACCAGAAAGCCTTCAGCACAACTCATGCCTAAAACAACTTCACAGAAAAAAAATCTCGATCTATACATCACGTATACACTCATGACAGCATGATACTTCAGCAACTCATTAAGAGCTTTCCAAAGCAGAAAAATAAACTTGCAGTAACAACCTCCAAAAGGACAGTGCCACCCAGCTACCTATCAGAGTATTTTACTCAGAAAACCCCAGTATCTCTACTTCATCCTCAAAGACACAGACAGCATACAAGGTCAAGAACCAAATTTACACTTCTGATGGATATTACAAAGCATGGATTTAATATTAAGTATGGTGCTGTGACTCGCTATTGTAATCTCTCTCGTCTCACTACTAAGGAGGTATTTCACTCATCATTTTATTCTGGTATTTTTTTCTTCTCCTTGTTAGGAGCTAACTAATCTTTTTCTCAACTAACTGACCAACTATAAATAATAATTGTCTAGTCAGGCTCAGTTATTTTTAGTTTACATTTCACTGCTTTCTTGTCTCATTGCAATTAACTTTAATAGAAGTTTGTTGTTTTTCTTATACAATAAAAAGGTGCCTTCCTTAAAAAACCTACCTCTCCTTCGGGGAACTAATTGGAAAAGAACTATGCAACTATGGTTTGTAAGCAAAGATCTTTTATTTCCAAATAAAGTACAACTGTTTCTACAAGGTGAAGGAGAGTATTTCCTAATAACTGTTTGCATTCACTGAATGCTGTAATTCTTTCTTTAGCAAAGTTGATTGGTAGAGTTCTGATTTATAAACAAAAGGGTTTTTTCCATCAAAAAAAGCATGAAATACATTCTTCAAAGTTCTCCTCCTCCAAATAAAACACATGACATGCAAAGATTTTAATGAGCTAAATGCATCAAGTCACATGAACACTTACTCCTCCTTTCTTTTCAGATTCTCTCTTGCTTCCTGTGCTTTGGCAAAAATAAACCATTGAAGGGTTGCTGGATCACAGACCGTTGGGATTGTAAAGTGTCCAAATTCATGTAAGCTTGGTGCATATCTGTCACTAAGGAAACACAATGAAAGCAAAGCACAAGGTAAAATTTCTTCTATGCAGGTATTTACATGAATTAATTTCAGAATGAATCCTGAAGATGAAAGTAATCACAATCAGAACAACTGCTAAAAAATTAATCAAGTTTGGTCCCTGAGACTACAGAAAAACAATACATAATGCTTTTTAAAAACTACATGCCGAAAGCAACCTGTCAACAACACTGAAAAAAACACCAGCATGGCAGCAAAAACCCAGCACAACACTAAAATAAAGACAGAACTTTGAGTCCAACTTGAATGAAATTAAGGAGGATTTTCTTCAGTCTGATTCCTTCTTAACCCATAAAAATGCACTTAAAACCTTCAAAACCAAGAAGACTTTGACATAATGAAAATCCAAGATTATATTACTTTACTCCTTAGAGCAATAATCAGTGCAGCAAGGAAAAAAAAAAAAAAAGAGTAAAAGCTCTAACAGGAATAAACCTTTCCTGCAAACACCTACCTTTCCAGAATCATTTGCAAGCCTCGCAGACTGCGAGGATGAAAAGGCAGTCTACTGTCACGGAGTTTATTATAGAAGGAGTTCAGAGTCTCGTAGTACTCTTCCAGAGTCAACAGAGGTTGCAGTTCTTCAATATATATCACTTGTATGCCTCCCAGAAGTTGGCTTATCCGATCTTCCAAGAATAGTAGCCTTTTCTGAAGCTTATAATAATTTGGCAATCTCTCGAAAATCTGTGCACACACACAAACAAACATTTCCTAAGACACAGAGCGTAAAACTTCATTGCAATAATGTAAAAAAACTCTCAAGAAACTCCAAAAGAGACACTTAACAATGCAAACATGGAACCTAAGGGGAAAAAAAGAAAATTAAAGAATACCAAAAGTGAGAAATATCAAGTATACACATTTTGGGGCAAGATATAATGGAAATAGCTTGTAAGTATTTTCTGTATTTATTCTATAAAAGCAGCAGAAGGCCATAAAAAGATGGATGGATGTCCTCTTCCTCTATATATAAAGAAATCAATGGTTCCAAATAAAAACATATATAATCTGAGGCCTACTTGAAACATACATCACCACAGTTACAGTGGCAGAGCTATTGCTCATACAGCAGTCACTACTTACCACCGACCCTGTTATTACTATAATGTCATTTTCCACGCAAAAAAATTGCTGCTGTTGGAACAAGTCAAGTGATTTCAGAACAATCTCTTTATTAGAAGCCCAGGAGAGTAAAATCTATTGGATCAGCACTTGCATTTGTTATAGAGCAAAACTCCTTTAAATATTGTACCCCTGACCAAGCACTCTACAGACTGACTTGGACAGTATTCTCCTTCTTCTAAGTAATTAGTCACAAAAAGTAACAGCACTTAGGACTGCTTTCTAAAATGGGGTAGAATTGGGCAAACAATTATGGTCTCGAAAATCCAAGCAGCTAACCGACCTCATAATGATTTTCAGTGACTTTTTCTGTGTAACATTTCACATGATCCTCAGTGCATTTTTAAAATAAAAAGCTTTTTATTTCAGGTTCAAATATATATCTCTCCTTTGTCCTCCCAAGCAAATACCATCACTACAACTAAGTATACACATTGTCCTATCTGCACAGTGTTTTGTGTGGATACATGATCCCTTTGGGAAAAACCCTCAGCAAAGGTTAGAAAGATGAAGCATTTATCTTTTCAAGGAAGACAATGTTTATTTTGGTATTAATCAGAACACTTTTATTCCAATGACTATCAACACTCTCAAGTCTCAGTAGAAAGTTTTCTATTAAATTCTAGTTTCTCAGTCTAAGTTCTTAGTAAACTGCACACACTAACAAACCATGGTTTGTTTTCCCCCCCAGTGAAACACACATAGGCAAAAATGCAAAGCACCACCAGATAAAGAAGATTGAGTGTTAACTTTTCATATTATTCACTGATTGGAATACAAAAATAAAATATTCTGGTATTCTAGTAGGGTGAAATGCCCAACTAGGAACTTCTACCAATTATCTCCTTTACAAAGAAATATTTTTGATAGAACTACGTGCCATACTGATATCACTACATATATAATTTTTGTTCCTTTGCATATAATACTTTCTCATTTAAGATGCCAGAAAGCTCGTTAACTCAGAACTTCACACAAGCAGCAGCAGAATTGGTAAAGTCACTACAGATAAATTACTGCAACATCCACATTATCTGCCTAAAAGAACAAAATAGAGTGACAGGGTTGGTTAGTAGCCATTGAATGATGATGTTCACAACTTCCTTTAAATCCCATATTTACAAAAAAATCTGAAAAAATATTCATTAATCCTTCATGGGAATGACTTCTTCTGTCAGTGCTCACTGCACAGACTGGAACAGTGTATAACAAATCAGTTTTCTTTATATCTAATCAGGAGTAGGACTGACTTGTTAATGAAAGCAGCAGTAAATATCTGGCAAAGATTGTTGTTAGTAACAGCATACACAGGATTAAATTCAGAATGCAATGCAGACAGTTATGCTAAACGTATTAGCTAAGTGTTTGCTTTAAATTATGCATCAGTTATCTGCACCTACTAATATTTTTGTTACAGTTGAAGAAATGCTGTTCAGTTCGACAAGAGGCTTTATCATTTAGTTTGAAATCTTCTTACTTTGGTCCAGTGATGGTGAACATCCATGGTCCCCAGCATGATGTGACCTGCCGCACTCATACCCGAGCGGTCTGTAAATACCACCGTGCGTCCTACAAATTGAACAAAGCTCTTGACTAATTTGGGTTACTGCAATCATTCCCACAATTACTGAAGACTTAACTATGCTACTAACATGTCACAAGCACCATATTACTGCAGCACAATCACAAATGAGTAGCTGCTCTTGTTATTCTCAGAATTTGAAAGAGATTCTTGAAAAGTCCAGTTTAAGAATTCTTTGTCATACAAACCTGACCTAGCACTTGCCTTCTCCCTGTGTGCATTTGATATACTTTTAGTTACTTGGACTTTTTTCTTATGACACTTTTAAAATAAGAGAAAATCTCAGCAGATAGCATGTTCAAAGAATCTGTACGAATCACGTACAGAGAAGGAAATATAGGCTAGATGCTTATAGTAAATATAAATAAGGTAAAAGCTGGTCAAAGAACTATGAGCACAGCCACTCGACACTACTTCTACAGAACTCTGCAACATGTGAGCTCTAAGAAACACTTTCACATTAGGTTTTAACTCTTTTTTTAAAACAAAGAATACAGACAACACAAAAGGATAATTCTATGTGTATTTTTAGGGGGATGAATCAGTTTTGAGTCTGAGTATGGGTTTTTAAGTGAACTACAAAGATCCTCAAGTATTTTTTAGGGTAAAAGCACAGGCAACTATTGATCAAAATAAGCTTCCACTAAAGTCTTAATGTGATGTATTAATCTGCAAGGCTACAGAGCTTAAATAGCTCTTGCTCTCAGAAATCAGTTTTCCAGAATCCCTAAGAAAGAGCAATGCCAACTTTAAGGCATCTAGTCCATGCTTGTACCCCAAGGCAAGATCAACTGTACCTGTATAATTACTGACAGGTATTTGCTCAGTGTATTATTAAAGATCTTCAAAGATAGAGACTACAACAGGTTCACAAGACAGACTTCTCTAGCACTTTAAATCCTCAGCATGCTTAGAAAATGAAACTAATTTGAAACCTGATACAATTTAAAACTACTACTTATTCTCCTACCTACTCTGTCTTTTGACAAAGGATTAGCTGGACCCTCAAATCAAAGCCACTCAAAACTTGAGTCTCTGCAGACAGGCATAAAACGCAGAACTACAATTAGAGGAAACAGCTACTGCCACAGGTCAAACAGCTTTATAAAAGGAATGATAGGTGAGGTTTACAGAATATTTTTATTATTTTCCTGAGAAAATATAGACTTTAATATAGGGGGTTTATGAACACACATGAGAAGAGGAAACAATATGACTTTAAAGTCCTCCATATATTGACTCTTTTGAGAGCTACTCGAATTTCTGTCTTGAACCTACCGTGAGTGACAATCTACTACTACCTCCTCTACCCTTTCACAGGTTCAAGTCTAGACTTTTCACCTTCATAGTTAATATTAAGTCTAGTGCCTCCAACTCACTCCGTCTGCATTTATTAAGAAGCGAACTAGCAGCTAAATGTAGCAAATACACCATAAGGAAAGGTCACTTCAAAAAAATACCTAGTAGCTTAAAATGTAAGCTCTCACCAGCTTTTCAGTAAGCCTGGCAAGTTTGCTTTTGCACTTATCAAAAGCATTTGTGAAAAGAACTAGAGCTCCCATGTCCCAGAAGACTGGGCTCATCTCTGAACCAATACTGTGCTAGGATATAGGAAACAGGCAACAGAAATACCTTTAACATTCTTTAATACTTCAGGTCGCTGTTGGACTAAGCGACCCAGGCTGTGCAGCTGGCTGCAGCGGTGAGCAATACCCCAGCTCCTCTGCCACCTACAGAAAAATATAATGGAAAGCATTTCATTCTCAATATTATTAAAAAAACCCTAAACCACAGAAGCTGAGAGGCAGCTCAAAGCCTTGTAACACAAATGAAATAGCACTTCAACACTAATAAAAGGTAAGGCTACTGAACGGCTGTCCATGTCGTGTGCTATTTGAACAGATAAAAAGCCTAAATAAAACTTCAGTGTTTTCTTAAAGTGAGTCCCAAAACCCCAAAGAAAACCAACAGCAGATACAGGAAAAAAAATCGATATAAAACCTGGTGGACAGAACAGAACTTGAAAATCCTTCCCCCAATGAGAAGGGGGTTAGTAAGAATACAGCAAGACAACCCTGTATTTGGTTAAGTTGTGGAGCAATGTAGTTTTGTTTGTACACTGTGCAATGTTTGTCCAGAGAAGCAAATACAGTATCTAAGGACATTGCCCTTTTTTCTGAGTACCTAGCCCAAAACATTACTATGATTCCAGTGCAAAGTTGCTATGCATTATTCATAATTTTACAGTGGAGTAATTTTTGTTAAACCATACAGAAGCCAGGTGTCACATTGGTGACTTTAATACCCATAGTCTTGACATCTTTTCCATCACAGACAGATCAGACAAATTCCTAAGTAAATTTCAAAAAGCATTTAAATTGTGAAGTTGTCCCAATGTATTGAAAAAATATACCCTTTTACAGATTTCTAGCTGATATAAAACTGTCTCAAACTGGGAAATTACCATTCCCTTATTGTACAGTACACCAGTGGTTTTTATTTTTTACTAAAACAGTGATCACAGCACACCAATGTTTTGGTGATTGTGCACAGTGTCCAGGTCTCCACTTTTTCTTCCCACGCTGCCCCCCACCATCAGCAAGTAGGGAGGGGACACAGCCCGAACAGGTGATTTCAACTAACCAAAGGAATATTCAAGACCATATATCATGTGCAGTGATAACGCTCAGGGAAAGCAGAAGGAAAGGTAGACCCTCATTAAAGCATTTGTCTCCCCAAGCAAGCATCAGACATGCTGAGGCTCTGCGCTCCAGAAGGGGATAAACACCTGCCTGCCAGTAGGAAACAGTGAATCAATTTCTCCTTTTGCTCGGCCTGAACTCACAGCTTTGCTTCACCTATTAAACTTCTACCTTAATCCACAAATTTTCTTGCTTTTGCTCTTCTATTCTCTTCCTCCCACCCCACTATGTATATGAGTGAGTGGCTGTGTGTGTGCTTAGCTGCTGGCTGGGGTCTATCCACATCACTTCACTTAGGGAAACCTAACTGGCAAAACCTCATTCAGAATCATAGAATCAGCCAGGTTGGAAAAAACCTCCAAGATCATCAAGTCCAACTCTACAGTGGTTACTAGACCATGGCACTAAGTGCCACATCCAGTCTCATCCTAAAAACCTCCAGTGACGGTGAACTCTTTGGAATGCAGGGAATGGCACTAGGCCACAGCACTTGTGAGGCAATTTAATCTTCTATAATAGAAGTAATTCAAACAACTGTTTACTGTTACCTAGCAATATCACTTTGCTTCCAGTAGCACCAGACAGGAATGTAAAAAGGTAGCTTCTCTTCAGCTGTCCTAAACTTATACATGGAATAAAGCCAATGACCTAGATGTTTTTCAGACCTCTGTGAACACTAGCATTAGGCTGCAGGATCACAATAGTTTCCTATTAAGATATTCCCTTGTCGGATTACTGACACTCACATTCCTCTCTGAAATGTAACAATATAACTCATGGAAGGTTCATAACTCTTCATGGAACACAACAGTTTTAGTGTATTTTAAAAGCACAAACTCTAAGAAAATTAAATATAAACCACGAATAAAATCAAATTTCCGCGTTTAATACTCAAGACTGTTTCAGAATCTTAAAAACCCTCACCACAGCTCAGTTGCAGAGGATTAGAAATTGTGTTCAAAAAAACCTGGCTTCAGCTTAAAGGAAGCCAGGGTCTTTTAGAGGGTAAAAGGACAAAAGCATCATTTCAGAAGCTCCAACTCTCTCTTTCCTGGTTAAGAAAAAAAAAAGAACTTAACAGACTTGCCCTTGAAATAATCCCCCAAAGTTTATTTTTCCATAAATTGTTGAATACCTTCACTGCCATTTTCCCATCCTGAATATCTCACTTCAGAATATCCTCACTCAAAGGCACAAAATGTAAAAAGGGATTGTAAATAATTTTCTGGAAAATATTCTGAAGACTCAAAATCTCCAACTGCACTGAGCCCTTTCAAGCAAACAAATCTCCTCCTCCTCTGGAGAGTGGGTAACAAGACACCAGAAAGAAGAACATTTTTATTAAGCATTCACAGGATGTCAATATGTACTATCTGCAAAGCTGCATTTCACTGCCAATCTAGTTACCTTTGTAGATATTACCTTGGCTTCAAGAACAATAAACTTGACCAGCAAAACACCCAAACTAACACATACACATAGTCCTATTTCAAGGGCTTATGCGTCTGCCTCAACTGGTGCCTACATTTTTAGGTACAAATACTCTTTTTGAGCAGATTGTAACAGGAAATTTTTGCCCTAACAGAATTCTTCTAGAATAATATTCAGTGCAATAACACTTCCATACATGAAATATAGCTGTTTGCTGAAATAAGCCTTTAAAAGCTCATGGCGTACTATTAGACAACACTTTCTTGCTTTGATTGTCTTAACCCAAGTCCAACCGATCTAATTTATTACCTGATATCTGAGAGCTGGAGTTCATGAGAAAGTTCAAATTTTAAACGTTCTAGTTCTTTTCTAAGTGGCAAACTTTTTTTCAGCTTTTTTACTGCACTTGCTTCATTATCATCCAGCCACGATCTGAAAAGAAGAGGAAAAATACTCAACAGTAGAAACATGCTGCTGTATTATTCTTCATGCAAACAGTACAGCTAACTGAATTCTTACTGCTGATATAAATGTTTTATTTCAAATTACCAGGTAAAGGGATTTTTTTAAAAATAGAGGCTACAAACTGACATTGCTAAATGCTTCATCTTAAGATATCTACATAGGAAAACCTGGCACTTGATGTCTTTGAGGGGGACTAGGGAATCAAACTGAACCAAAAGACACTGACAGTGTTAAAACTGTAATGCTTAGAGGTGTGACAGGTGTATTTTGGGGGCAGCTTCAGAACTTTGTGCTTTAATGGAAGAAGTTTCCATGCATCTGCCATAAGAAAAAAAACATCCTACAATAAAATCCAACAAAAAATCAAAACAAAGTGATCATAGTAGACTATCAAACACAAGGGGTGGTACTAAAGGGCTACGTTAGGTAACTTTTACAGTGCTGACAGGAACATAGATTAAGCAGGTCAAAGTTTTATAGTTTTTTTTGCCATAATCACAACCAGGCAAACATGACCCACTGAGTACACCTAAAATTTCAATATATAGGTCATTCTATCTCTAGGAAAGTTACTCTTTAAGAGATTCAGCCTTTTTTTCATAGCATAAGCTTATTTTCATACTCTTATTTTTACAAGCTAATACTTCCATTCTCATACTGTATTCCAAGCAAAACAATTCAAACTCAGAAGCAAAAAAAGGCCCAATGCCAAATGGCTATGTATTAAAAAGAGACTGTTAATATGTAACTGCTCATGGCATTTCTTGTAAATGTGTAAAAATAAGTAAAAATATTCTCTAGTGTGTTAAATCTCAGTGAAGTGTTTTACAGTTGCATATATTACAGTAGCTTTATTTGCCAGGTGGTGTGCAGGATGAGGGATATACACTTTGCTCTGAAGATCCTTCCAGCACAGTTCTGCATTCGTTTCAAATGGCATCTAAGCCTCACTGTTAAAAAAGCTCTTTCAAGGCCCCAAAATGTGTATGTATCCCAGAATGAGCACATACAGATTTTTTTTGAATCACCTACTGCTAATACCACATTTAATGCAAGTTTAGTATTTATAACTGACTTAAGTATTAAGCTTGGCATGCTGAACAACATTTCAGCCTGATACCTTAGGTATCAGGCAAATTAAAACCTTTTAACCTTAGTTTTCATGTATTATCTCCCATCCCCATCAGAATGTGATAATGCAATAGTAGCAGCCATATAGTTTTATGTTACTGAAGTACTGCAAGAGGTAAGGAGCTATTTGGAGTAAGTGTAACCTCTGTCTCCTTCTGAATTGCCACCAATACTAGACAAATCTGAAAAGCTAGTTCAACCAAAACTAGATTGACCAAACATGAATGCTGGGCAAAGAGACAAGAATGCCTCAGCATTATCCCAGGAGCTCCTCTGAGCTCTCTTTGATTATGAAAAACATGATAAAATTACATGTTGGACAATTAAGTTTTGCATTGTTCAGAGTGTTTACTGCCTGCCTTTAAAAATGCAGCATTAGAGTAGGACACATTTAGGTTACAAAACTTCAGTTCAATGAAAGCATTACATACATTAAAGTTGTTTCCACTCTCTGGGCTTGTTCTAGCTCCTCCTCAGGATCCTTGAATCCAGTAAATGAATAGTAAGTCTTATCCCATTTGATAGGTCTGTTCACTGTGCTTTTTGCTTCCTTCTGGGACTGAGAGTTCACATTCAAACTCTGAATATGCTCCGTCGATAAACTGCAGGAGTTGAGAATATCTAACACTGTGCTCAGGAGATCCCTGGTGTGTAGTGTAAAACTGACTGCTCGAAACCCTGTAAAACACAAGCATTATTTACTTAAAACTATTTAACAAGCATTCACATTTCTGTCCTCTTACGAGAACCCCAACAAGGCACAGAAAGTTGGAAATTATTATGACACTTATTTTGGTACTCACTGCAAAATTCATGTGCAGTTTAACTATGTCCCATCCCTTAGCTACTGAGCCTAACTGCCCTGATAGAAAGCTTTTGACTCAAGGGCAGATGACAATTCAAATGTTATGTTAAGTAGACTGGTCATAACGCTGCTATTTTCTTAAAAACAGTATGAGTTTGTTTTCTAGCACTAGTGTCCCTCACAATTCGCTCAAATGTTTTGATTGCCAGGATACAGTATGTAAAATTCACCTGTTAGGTAAGGTATATTGGTACACCAGAGACAAACATGTGGAATAAAATTAATCAAAAGCCACATTCCAAATTTGACAAATTTTTTTTGTAGTCTCAAAGATGAGGCAACGTGGTAAATTAAAGATTCAGGTGTTATAGAGCTTTTACTTACAGACTAAGTTCCTACTGACCTACAAGTATGCTGACATTGTGCACTACACAGTAACTGCAATAAGGACAAGGACCCAACTGTTGTTCCAGTTAAACATGACAACAGTATTAAAAGCAGGAAAATTATCATTTACATTCACCTATGTTTTTTACTTCCTCATACTGTAACTTGACCTCAACTCTAACGCATCATTCTTCCAATGCTTCTTAAAGCTAAATATGTTTCATTACTTGGGATGGTCCCAGTTGTCTGATCTAATACATATTTTCATGGTTTGACAGGATTTTATGCAGTTGAAAAGTTGTTATGGCTGCACAAGGCTAATGGTCTGCAAGAATTTAAATACAGGAAGATACATTCTGTACGATATAAAAGCACCTGAAGCACTGAAGGATTCTTGAACATTAGAAGAGTTTGGTTCTCTTTCTCTTACATAAAAAGTAAGCTGAGTTGGCTTAAAGGAACGAAATCCTGGTTTCTGTAGGTTTTCCAAGTAGCCATTTAACCTCTTCAGAGAGTTTTCATTTACTTCCTGTTTAAAGACAAAAACATACAACAAACAATACAGATGATGAATTTGGCCATTTGTCATCTAAATCTTCTTACTCTTACATGCAGAATTAGGTTTTACAAAATGCCAGTTGCTCTTAACAGGTAGTGACACAGCTCAGTTCACATTCTCAGCATGAATAAATTTGTATGACGTCCATATGTACACATTTGTGTACATTCCAATATCCACTTTTAAGGATTTCAAGCTTAAAGAAATCCACGGATTTTAAAGTGATAAAGAAATATGTATTATAAATGAGTCTGGAAGGATTCAGTATTTTATTTCTAACAATTAGAAAATATGACTAATAAATAATGGATGTATGAGGGACCTTTCCTTGATAAAAATCAAAGGAAGTGCATCTTTTTGTTCTGTGGTAAAAACCATATTAAATTCCAATACTACTTTTGTCTCTCTGACAGACAGAAAACTAGAAAATTTCCATCCCTGTTATATGAAACACTCACAAAGAAAGAATCAAAATATTTTTACCCTCTCTTTGGGATGCTGGCCAAAGAAATCTGGATGTACAGCAAAATAGAAAGGTCTGAGGGCATTGATGGCATCAGCTCCTGACAAAGTTCTTGACTGAAGAACACATTTTAGCAAGATCTTGTCCAGACATAACCTAATAAAGTAATAACATGTTCATGCATGATACAACCAATCAAGTGACAGACTGATTAAAATTCCACTACAATGTGACTGAATGGAGTAAGCATTCACAGTTGCAAGTACAATCATTTAAAACTGACACTGGAAGCCTGAGTTGTGGATTTCTCCCCTTGGGACTCACAAAGCAGTATTACTGCAGATCCAATCCAACAAGTTTGAGAAATGGTGAATGCTAATTGCTGACTGAAGACATGTAAATAAGTACAGTAACTTTTCCCTCTACTTTCTCAAAGTAGTCTCAAAAATTCCCCAGACAAGTAGTTCAAATGACAAGTACTGGCCTTAGTGGAACTTTTGCAGCTATTGCTGAATCTCCTCTTAAGAGTCAAATGTTTTTTATTTCTGAACCTCCAAGTTAAAAAGCCAAACCATGGATTTTTCAAGCAGTGCCAAAAGAACATCAAATTTTACCCTGGAATAATAACCACAATTCAGTCACAAGATGCTCTGCATTAATTTGAGTTTCACATACTTGTGTCTGAAAAAAAAAATAAAATCTACTTTCCTAAACATACTCTTATAGAAAACATCAAGTAAAAAGACAGTGGGTTTTAGCCCTTTTATCTTCACTGAATTAGAAGAAAGGAGGACTAAAAAAACCTCAAGTGGTAGGACAAGAGGATTGTTTCACCTAAGATCAGAAGGAAAAGTTAAGTTGAAGAAGTTCTACGAGTACAGAAAGTGAAAATTATTGAACAGCTGCACTTGGGCAGAAATTTAACAACAGTTCTGTAAGAAGCACACTCATGTAACAGAGGACTGACACGGGAAGAAAAACACAGTCTGCAATAAAGGCTACCAAAATTTCCTGCCATAGCTCAAAGGTGATGTTCAGGTTTAGTAAACTAATTACTGAGAGACAGTATGTATAAAAGCAGCAAGAAACTGCGAGTTAGTAAATATTCAGCTCTTTGAGCTGACTTCACAGGGTGACAGACTCAACAGGATGTTTTCTGTGATTAACACTCATTTCAGTGTGTGACTCAGGAGGGCAGGGATTCTGCTCTGTTAAGCTGTACAGTGCTGCTTCACTCCTCACAGTATCATTGAAACTGCAAATCCCAAACAGGAAAATATATGGCAGACCGGAGGCAAATTCACATAAAACTAAGTAACTTCATAGTTAGCAGGACTGTTTTACAGAGAGCTGTCTGTCCAGCATCCCAGACCAAATAGTCATCCTGGACACAAACATGTGAGACTTTCCTGACTTATTACTTAAAAAAGAAAAAATACAAAAAAAAATCCCCAAATTTGTGCTCAGACAATAAGCAGTATTTTTCATTTTGGCAAATGGTAAATGACAACAGTTGAGTTGTCAAGCAGATGCAGTGACCCTTGCTTTACCTTTTTTGTGTCAACCTTTCCAGCTCTTCAATTACCAACATGAAAGCAGTTCAGCCTAACGTTTTCTGCCCAAGAGCTAGGCAAATATTTAATTAATAGGTTTTATCAGCTTGTCAAAAATAGAAGTTTTTGTAGAAAAGCGGGACAGAAAACCCACGATGTAAGAAGATTGATGAAATTTCAAATCCATTATGACTAACGATTTTCATGTGTGTGGATTAAATGAAAGATTAAAATAAAAGATAAAATGTATTACTGCAAACACTTCCACCTCCTTGCTGGCTACATCTCAGAGACTCTAAGACCAGTCATCATTGTGGCCCATGATCCTGCTCAAAATAGCATGAGATGGTGAGGCACCACAGCAGTATCATGTTTGTATGGAGTGACACCTCTCAGTGACAAGAACATGCCACAGTTTTTCAGTGATGCAGGAAAAACACCTCCACTAGACCTGGCAAGAAAGGAAGCAAAGCACACTGGATAAAAGTTCACTTGGTCATATGCTTTACCATTTTGCATCAGGAAACACCATAATACTTGTCTTGCTGAGGAGGAAAACACCCAGCGGATTAATTTTCTTTTTTAGTAGCAAGTGGACACAACACAGTAAAAGAAAAAAAAAATCTTTCCAGCAAAGAAAAAAAAAAAAGTAAATTAACTAGTTACCTATCTGACAGCAGTTTTGACTAACAGCCAGTAAATTAACCAGTTACCTATCTGACAGCAGTTTTGACTAACAGCCATGAAAGAAATGCACATCTTCCTAGACCCAGCTGCTAGGAGGAAGAAGAGCTCAATGCTTTGTTCACCTTATTTGTACACCATTTCCCACATCCGTTCTCAAGCTACATCGCATGCTGTTTCCAGAAGTCCAGAAAAAAGTTCAGCATACCTGGAAACTATTAATCATACTTCTGAGTTTATTAATCATAAAGTTCCATCTGTTATTCTACATGAAAAATGGCCAAGTATGGCTAACTTTAGTTCCCTTGTTTTGTATCTAAACAACACTGTCATGCTAGTAGGAAGGCTCAGGATTCCAGCCAAAAGTCTATTTCGAACTTGCTTCGAAGAGAAGTGCTCAAAGACCAAAATTAGCCTGTGACAGAAGGAAGAATTCATTCACTGAAGGTGAAAGACAGAACTCTGAGGCATCCTTCAACTGAGGTGACAAAATAAGTGAATTAAAATGGATTTAGAGAGAGAAATCACAAGAAGAATGTTTATGGCTTCACTCACAAGGAGCAAGGATCGTTCCAAGAGCTTCATTTAGATCTGAAGAGCAGAGAAAGGCTTTGTATTAAAATCAAGGTCATAACTGCTTCGAGGACAGCGTCTGCACTTCATGAACCATATGAAACACAATCTCTACTAGAAAGCATTATGCAATCACACTCTAGGACTGATTTAATTTATTGATTAAATAATTCCCTTCAGCTTTCTTTTTCTTCACATCTCTCTCAAGTTTAACTTTTTGGCTTAAAGCTTTGGCACTGAAAAGCTTTGTTAACTTCAGCTCATGGTTAGACACAGTCACACATTTTCAGACACTGAACTTCAATAACTCAATAATGCAGCAGTATATTTGATACCATATTCACACTTAGGCCACTCCTTTCTGATAATTAAGCTATTTTAAGCCCCCTGGTTTATTGAGAGCCTTTTTAAAATTTCGTTCTAGGACAACCATATGGCTTTTGGGGATTTGCAACTGCGGATGCTCTGTCAAGAGCTTCAAGCTGTTAAGGTGAGAATGTCCAAGAAATAAACATTAAACAAAAATACCAAACCAGTTCCACATATATCCAAGTCATAAGCAAACACTTAAACATATGCTGAAGGTAAATAAGGTCAGCAGTGTCTCATACCTTTTCACGGTTCTCAGGCAGCAAAACATTTCAGCAACTCAGTGGTCAAGCCAAACTTCAGCCATCCACTAACTCACTTTAAAAAAAAGGAAAAAATTCCTGTTTAGTAATGGACATGTCTATTTTCCCCTTGCTACTTATCTGTACAATCCCTAAATCTTAGGTGGTCACTTTCAAAGTCCCAACACTAATATAAAATTGAGCAGCCACACATAAAACCTAAAGCTTTGTGCAAGACTGTTTTCAGTTTCCTCTAATAACAGCGTGTCTTGCCAATATTATGAGTTGTTACCATATTTTGATTTGAGGATGACTATTTAAAGATATTCCAGTTCAGAAAAAAAAGACCCTAAAAATTATTTACTGAAAACGCTCCCTGCTCTGACACTCAGTTTTTGTTTCAAATTATAAAAGCAAAAAACCAGAAGCTTTCTTTCAGCACGAACACATACCAGCTCGTGTAATTCCATGCAAATATTAGAGTCCAAAACTCTTAAACATATTAAAATACATTAAAATGTACATGCCAAATATTTTATGGGAGGATAATACCAAGCTGAAGGGAATGACACTGTCATCCAACGATGCCTGGAAATCTTTATCAAAAGTTTGCTGGCATTCACAAAAACGAATTAGCAATTTTTATCAGTAACTTCTGCACCATGCAACTGTTTTGCAAAAGGAGACAAACCACTCAGCATGTCAGAGTGTAAACATACACCTAATTATTCAGGATTATGAGGGAAGTTCCTATTGGCAATATTTTCTTATATATTTTCTCTTTATGTGTTTTTCACGCACTTTTTATTACACTTTTCAAAACAACATGCCTGCAGGTGCACTCAAGACGAGCAGTCATCAGAGTGCTCCAGCACAGCATGACAGTTCCTACGGCTATTCTGCAAAACACTTGGAGTATTAAAACTGCATCTTACTACTACAAATATACTTAACCAAGAATGTAAGTGGCTCACCAGATATTTTACTAGAGGCAGAAAATGTGAGGAAAAAACACATGCCGAGCTAAAATATTCCCAAAATACTTGATAATTTTTGTCTTCTGATTTTCAACTAGGTGTGCAAGGCAGTAATAATGTCATTACTAGTGTCTGCAACAGCAGTCCTAATCACAAACGAACCTGAATACATTAACAAGCTCCCTGGTAATAAAACAGTTTTCTCTCTCTGTAATTCTAGCTTCAGGCATTTGGGCAAAGGATGGAAAAAACCCAACAATCTCACTAATCCGTGGTGACGCTTTATATAACCAGACAAAAACAACATTGTTCCTTGCTTCAAATGCTCTATTAATTGCTTAGAACTGGTACACCGCTTGGCTAAAAACCCACAAAATCTCCTGGGTTTGACCAAGTTTTTCCTGCACCCACTTCAGAGATACACAGAGAGAAATATCAATTGTGTTGCAGCCGTTCTGCAAAAGCTTTTGGCCACAGGACATTGCAGGCTCGCCCCGAGGTGAGCTATTTCAGGTGTTTACCTGCGCTGGACACTTCGGGTAGGACGAAGACAAGAGTGTGAAAATAAACACGACGCCAAAGCGCTCAGAACAACAAGCTCGGGCGAACCCGACACCCTCGCGGCTGGAAAACAACACAAGTGCCGCGACACGCTCTATCGCTTTAACCACGGACAGCGTTAACTATTGACGGCACAGCCCTGGAAGAGTCTCCTTTGAAAACCGGCGGAGGGAAGACCT